AAATGAACAAACACTTCACCAAAGAAGACATTCAGGTGGCCAACAGACACATGAGGAAATGCTTGCGATCACTAGCCATTAGAGAAATGCAAATTAAAACTACAATGAGATACCATCTCACCCCGGCATTACCGGCACGAATCAAAAACACTGGAAATAACAAATGTTGGAGAGGCTGAGGGGAGATCGGAACTCTTATTCACTGCTGGTGGGAATGCATAATGATACAACCATTTTGGAAAGTGATATGGTGCTTCCTTAGAAAGCTGGAAATAGAAATACCATATGATCCAGCAATCCCACTCCTAGGAATATATCCTAGAGAAATAAGAGCCGTTACATGAATAGACATATGCACACCCATGTTCATTGCAGCATTGTTCACAATAGCAAAAAGATGGAAACAACCTAGATGCCCATCAACAGATGAATGGGTAAACTATGGTACATACACACAGTGGAGTACTATGCAACAATAAAGAACAATGATAAATTTGTGAAGCATCTCATAACATGGATGAAACTGGAGGACATTATGTGGAGTGAAATAAGTCAATCACAAAAGGACAAACATTGTATGAGACTTCTGCTGTAAAAACTCATGAAAAAGTTTACACACAAATAGTAACAATCTTTGTTGGTTACGAGGGATGGGAGGGGTGGGGAAGGAATACGAAATAGACAATAGATAAGTGGTAACTTTGGTAAAAGGTAAGACAGTACACAATACTGGGAAAGCCAGCACAACTTGTACAAGGAAAGGTCATGCTTTGTTGGTTACAAGGGATGGGAGGGGTGGGAAGGAAATACTAAACAGACAGTAGATAAGTGGTAACTTTGGTAAAGGGTGAGACAGTACACAATACTGGGAAAGCCAGCACAACTTGTACAGGGAAAGGTCATGGAAGCTCCATAGACACATCCATACTCCCTGAGGGACTGAATTGCTGGGCGGAGGGCTGTGGGGACCATGGTCTTGGGGAACATCTAGCTCAATGCGTAACACAGTTTATAAAGACAATGTTCTACATTCTACCTTGGTGAGTAGCGCCTGGGGTCTTAAAAGCCTGTGAGCAGCCATCTAAGAAACTCCACTGGTCTCACCCCTTCGGGACCAACAGAAAATGAAGAGAACAGGATACAAGGAAAAGGTTAGTCCAAAGGACTAATGGATCACAGCTACCAAGGCCTCCACCAGACTGAGTCCAGTACAGCTAGATGGTGCCCGGCTATCACCACTGACTGCTCTGACTGAGATCACAACAGAGGGTTCTAGACAGAGCTGGAGAAGGATGTAGAACAAAATTCTAACTCACAAAAAAAGACCAGATTCACTTGTCTGACAGAGACTGGAGAAACCCTGAGAGTATGGCCCCCAGACATCCTTTTAGTTTAGTGGTGAAGTCACTCCTGTGGTTCAGCTGAGGTTTGGACAGCCCCCTAAAAAAAACAGGACTAATGAGATACAGCAGTCCAGGGACAAGGACTAGAAGGCAGGAGGGGACAGGAAAGCTGGTGATAAGGAACCCAAGGTTGAGTAAGGACAGTGTTGACATGTCGTGGGGTTGTTAACCAATGTCATAAAACAATATGTATACTGACTGTTTAATGAGAAACTATTTGTTCTGTAAACCTTCACCTAAAGTACAATAAAATAAATAAATAAATAAAAGGAGAAGTTACAGCTTTAAGAATGAACACTGAATGTTAATGAGTGCCTAAGAATCCAGCTCAAGAAGTTAGCAAAAAAAAGAAATGAAACAAACTAAAACCATTAAGGTCAGTAGCTCATTCTTATGCATCTTTGTATACCGTCTCATTTCCAAAACAGTGCTCAGCGAGTAAAGAGGAACTTGGTGAACATCAAATTAGGTTGCTTACATCTTTTGTTGTGATTGTATATGTATATATATATATGTAAAACATATCCGTTGCCATCAAGTTGATTCCGACTCATAGCGACCCTATCGGACAGAGTAAAACTGCCCCATAGGGTTTCCAAGGCTGTAATTTTTAGTGAAGCAGACTGCCGCATCTTCCCCTGCGGAGCAGCTGGAGGTTTCAAACCACCGACCTTTCGTTTTGGTTAGCAGCTGAGCACTTAACCACTATGCCACCAGGGCTTCCTATATGTGACACATTTGTCAGTTTGACATTGTTTTCTTGAACAATTCCGTGACACCAGTTACAGTAATCATGCTGTGCAGCCATTGCCAAGTTTTCCATCACTGTAAGGATTGTTTAAATCTTTAAAGGCCACAGTTTGAGCACGTGGTATTTCCAAAGTGTCAGGGACAAAGAGGATGCCCCATCTGATCCATCCACCAAGATCACCCTTCCAGGTGCCATCTAACTGCACTGGATAGTAGATTCTGACCTCAAGAGTATGAGGCACCCACAGGGTGGTGGGTTTAAGTCAACTGGTAAATCCCACAGTGCCCCCAGATCGCAGCTGCCCTGGACTGTGGTACGGCTTCACTTTCCTTACATCTGGACATCTCAGAGAAATGTTTTGTGTTTATTTTACTAAATATTTGGGGGATAAAAGTGAAAGGTAAGTCCCTCTCTGTTGTTCTGGCAAGCACATTGCTTGTGGTCCTCAGAAGCCGAGAACCAGGGCCTTTCACAGAGGTAAGTGTCTGTGGAAGTTAAAGAAAGTTTTGCATGTGTAAGGGACAGAGGATTAGGCTCTGGGGATCAATGTTACTGAAGGAAAAAGAAGTGACTTTCATTTCATTAATGGTCTCCTGGATGATTCTGCTGTAAGTTTAATTCTCCATTAAATATTAATGCTGCTCCGTGCTTAGCACACTGCCTTTCGTATTCTACAGCTCAAACTGACACTAACCTGTTTCATATTTTATAACTGAATCACAGGGCTTTTTCAGGAGGAGTCAGCAAAGCAATGCCACCTACTCCTGTCCTCGGCAGAAGAACTGTTTGATTGATCGGACTAGTAGGAACCGCTGCCAGCACTGTCGGTTGCAGAAATGCCTTGCCGTAGGGATGTCTCGAGATGGTAAGCATTCACAGCTTGTGTTACGCGGTAGTGTGGGGCTGCCTTGTTTTTAGGGGCAGAGTTGCAAAAGTGCCTTCTGAAACATGGACCCAGATCTGCTAAAATACGCTCCTTTCCACCCTCCCAAAGCCTCCTCCGGCTGCTTTGTGGATTTCACTGCAGTTGCTTCCAGCAGAATATGGGAGTCAGCCGAGTGGCTGCTGGGAGGGGGTGGAGGAAGAAATGTCTTGTGGTCAGAACACGGTCAGCTCTTTGATGGTGAACACACTACAGGTACATGAATGATTGACGGTAAGTATCATAATGAGAGCCTTGTTCTTCCTAAGGGCATTTTCCCCCAGTCTGAAGCACCGCCCACAAACCACTGCTTATCATTACTTGCTTCATGCTGCTAAGCTTCTTGGCAGTTGGTATGAATTAGCTTTTATGCTAACTGGATATTTTGAATCACGTGCCAAACTCAAATATTTGTACATATGGAATATGTGAAAATGGTGCAGAGCTGGGCTCAGTGACGAATGTTCTTTTCATTAAACGAGGCTATTTTAAGAAATAGAGATCATCTACCATCTAGTTACAAAGCATTTCAAGATCTTCCTGGAAAACCAAAATGCTTTGAATAATCAGCACCAGATTTCAATTTCTTATACATGGAAACTGAGCAGAAAGTACATGGGGTACATTTTAAGGACTTTTCTAAAATATGGGCTGGCTCTTGTAAGACTCCCCTTTGAAGGGAACATCCATACCAACGAGGTTCCTTCTGAAAGCACCAGCCCATGGAAAAATACTTCCGAACGCAGGCAGGCTTTCCCAAAGTCGCCTTCCCATAATCCGATATTGTTGGGGCCCGTGGGCCATCCCAGGCACCGATTATGACATCCTGAAGTAGCAATACACAGGGTGGCCTCTTAGAACATGTAAGGCACGGAAGTAAGTTTTTAGCATCGGAAGATGCGAGTCTCAGAACTTACACCGTAGTCTTAGAAACCCTGTGATATGCAGCTACACGGATTTCATCTTACAGAGCACTCAGCTGACAAAATGAGGTGTATCTTTTATGAACTTGAATGTTAAAATCCCAAGTTGCGTGTGCTTTTTCTCAAGAGCTGATCTTTTCGTTTCACTTATGTGACAGTGTGATTACTGTTGTTAATATTTGGGGCAAGGCAAAAGTTAAAGCACAATCACACAGCCCCGTAGAACAAGTTTCACCTGAGGGCATGGATCCTCTTGGGTGTCCTAGAGTATGCTTTAAAAAAAGTTAAGTACCTTTAGTGTGCCTTTTGGAAATTTTGCGTATAATAAATAGCACAGGTTGTTGTGGGCTTGGAATGAGTTTGGGGGCCTATAAAATTATGGACCTAAATTCAGAGCCCACATCAGCCTGATTGCCGTCTGCCAATCCCATCCAAGTGTGTCCCTCTTACCTGAATTGTAGAACTTGACAACTGACCAGTCTTCCAGCTCACTGTTCCCTGTGTAAAAGGACAGCACATCCTCCTCAATCTAAAAAGAACCCACCAGCTGGCCAGTGCCTGCTTTCCAACCTCATTCCCATCTTTCCCGCCTCCTGCAGGATAACTACAGTGATGGTCAAATGGATGAATTCATCCACCCCTTCAGGTATCATTTTAACCACAATCAGTTGGAAGAACTAAGTCCCTTCTGCAGAGGCATTACCTGTGTACCATATTTTTACACAAATAACATGCGTTCTGTTTGTTTGCCAACCCTGCCCTCCGCCTGCCGCTATGCTAATTTTTTTTTTTTTTTTTACAACCGTACTCGTTAAAAACCCATTGCCGTCGATTCAGACTCATAGCGGCCCTTTAGGACAGAGTGGAACTGCCCCATAGGGTTTCCAAGGAGCAGCTGGTGGATTCAAACTGCTGACCTTTGGTTAGCAGCCAAGCTCTTAACCACTGTGCCACCAAGGCCCCTTTTTTACAACAACATGTGAAAAAAGAATCAGCATGGCGGTGCTTACGAAAATACCCTGCAGGAGGAGGGTGCAGTTGGCAAACAAACATAGAAGCCGCTTGTCATTTGTGTAAAAATACGGTAGACAAAGTCTAGTGGCGAAATGAATTAGTGGGAGAATTCGGGCCAGGAAATCATAGTTTTGTCTCAATGACCTGGGTGTTTTGGGAGAAATCGTCTGGGATCCCGAATGAGCTGAAAATTACTACAGTCGTTGCTCTGTGTTAAACATGGGGACGTATCCCAAGGAGAACCACAGTGGCACAGTGGTTAAGAGCTTGGCTGCTAACCAAAAGGTCAGCAGTTGAAATCCACCAGCCACTCCTTGGAGACCCTACGGGGCAGTTCTGCTCTGTCCTACAGAGTCACTAGCGGGAATCGGCGCGACGGCCGTGTTTGGTTTTGAGTTTGGTATTCCAAGGGGAGAAGCACTGCAACCACAAATTCACCCAGCAGAGGTCTTACACAGTGCTTGGCCTTCCCAAAATCCTGATGCTTTTTTTTTTTTTGCTTGAGGCTGAGAACAATAGGAACTGACATTTAAAGATAGGCCCAGGAGTTTCACAGGGGCTACCATGACCCATAAGCTGGGGGAGACCTTCTTAAGTCAGGTAGATTCAGGGATGTAATTCAGGGAATTACAAAAGCCTGGCTCAGTCTCTTTGGGCCCCTCAATAAAGCCCCAGTATCGGCCATTTGACTGGGAACAAACTCATTCCAGTGTACACAATGGGGAACTGAATGAAGATTGGGTTTGACTGGTGTTACCGTGCTATCCCTTGTAAATCTGTGCATCTCTGAGCCTCGGTCTGAACACCGGGAAGAGAAAGAGGTAGTCTAGGCCACCTGCATGGAGGGATAGAGAACAGCCCTTGAAGCTGCATGTCACTGGCAGCCAGGAGCCTAGGAGCATGTGACATGGGCGGTCATTGCTCCGGGGCCTTCTCTGCCCTGTGCTGGGTCTGTTTCTGAACCATCAGTGCTCTGGGATGTGTGCTGGCTATCGGGGGCGGAGCAGCCCCCTGTGGGGCAGGACTGTTTTCACCTTTGGATTCTACCCTTACCTTGTGATTATGTGGTTTTTAGTTAAGACTGTCTGAGACTTCAAAGGAAACCCTAAAGCCTGCCAGAAAGGATAATGAAGGGAAGCGCGTTGTATACGGTGTGGTTTGGCTTTATCTTCCAGCTGTAAAATTTGGCCGAATGTCGAAAAAGCAGAGAGACAGCTTGTACGCCGAAGTGCAGAAGCACCGGCTGCAGCAGCAGCAGCGAGACCACCAGCAGCAGCCTGGAGAGGCCGAGCCCCTGACGCCGACCTACAACATTTCGGCCAACGGGCTGACGGAACTCCACGACGACCTCAGCAACTACATCGACGGGCACACCCCCGAGGGGAGCAAGGCGGACTCTGCAGTCAGCAGCTTCTACCTGGACATACAGCCTTCCCCAGACCAGTCGGGCCTGGATATCAACGGCATCAAACCAGAACCAATATGTGACTACACAGCAGCATCAGGCTTCTTTCCCTACTGTTCTTTCACCAATGGAGAGACGTCCCCGACGGTGTCCATGGCAGAACTAGGTAATGGCATAGATGCTTCTGTGGGGGCACTCTTCTTAGGCCCTTTGAAGTAACGGGGATACGTTTGACTTTCGCTAAGTAGTTATTAAAGTAACGCAACTAGAAGGGAAGTTCATCTTTACCCTTTGGGCCACGCCGCAATTCCAGCTTGGCCTTTCCTTTTGACTTTTGCTGTTGCCCGTGGTATGTCCAATACACAGATTGACCTCTCAGTCAGAGATCGATCGGGGCTACAATGAACTTAAGCAGCCTTCAAATTCCAGAGGAAGTTCTAAACGCAGGGAATGCCCACATGAATGTCATTAGTTATTTTCCAGGTGTGGCTTATACCTAAGATCACAAAATGGCGGCCCACAAACTGAATCTGGTCCACAGATAGGTTTTTTTGACCTGTGCAGAGTTATAGAATTTTTGAGTTAGTTGCTAGAGTTGAAAACCTGGACAATTACACCCAGATTTGCAGCTTCTTTTGGGAGGAAAAAAAAAATATATATATATATATATGTATATATATACATACACACACATAATCATCGAGTTGCAGAGAATCAGCTTTTGTAAATGTCAACATCCCTGGCTAGGTAATTCGATCTTCGATGTGCAATCAGTGGCTGATGGGCTGCTAGATGGACCCAGCCCACTTCTCCCATTTACGTCAGTTGCTCAGCCCCTACAGGCATCAAAGTGTTTCAGCCCAAATGTATATTATACATGTTAAAGAAAAATTAGCTTCTTTACTTGTCCACATGTTTTGGTGAGGGATAATGGTGACAGAGTTGAGAAGTATTTCATAGAAGGTTCACCATGCAAAAGAAAAAATCATTTCCTCATTGTTGCGATATCGCTGCTGCTTGGGAGATGTGACCTAGAAATGTTGATAATACAGAGAGCGGAAGACTTTCCATTTCAAGGAAGTTGTGTTAACATCCTCTGCTATATTTACTAGATTTCTAAGTACGGCGCTATTATTAGAGATGCTTTGATAAGATCCTTTGCGGTTCTAGAATTTGATCTCCTCCTCCTGGTGGTTCCTCACACAAGGGTACAATCCTTTGGGACATTTCAGTTAGTTGCTGCGGAGGTGACCAAGTTCATACAAGGAGAGAAAGAGGACTTCAGATGGAGGCAAACCAGCAGGCTCTGACTTGAGCACAGAAATCCTGAGTTCACAGAAAGAACGGTTGTGTTCTTTAGATGGTGTCTCCACCTCTGTACCTCATACAACATTTTTTAAGTGAAAATTTATATTTCCAGTAAAATTGTTCTCCAAATAGAACAAATTGAACGTTCTTTACGGTTTTTACACAAGCACCTCTTTATGGGTCTAAATTTAAATCCTCAAGAGCAGGGACATTTTAAGCCTGGTCTTTAACCACTGAACAGCATTAAAGGTGTATCACAGCTCTTTTGATTAACAGAGAAACCTCTGAACCAGAAGCCAAGCTGAGCACAGGTAGGTTTGATTCTTTTTTTTTCTTGAACTAGAACAAAAACCTTCCGTTTTTGTCATGAAATCTTGGTCGGCTGGGCCTTACGCGGAACTGTAATGAAAGTAAAATTTTCAGAAATGAGTAAGGATTTGACTGAAAGCTGACATGGTGCCGTGACAAATGACCTGGCTGACTTTGGGTTTGCTTCCACCTTATCATAAATGCTAGTGATCCTATCCTGTCCGCTTGTCAAATGCCCAACCCTGAAATAAATCCATCGAGTTTAGCCAGAGTATTGTCCTTGACCACGGCACCTTGGATGAAAAGCGCACTAACATGGGGCTGGCGCCAGCGATGGCCGAGGCTGAACCCCTGGTCCCGCACACAGACCGGTTTCCTCTTCCAGTTGTCACCCCCCAGGGCGATCCAGGAGCCCTGGGCCCTCGTGCTTTCTCCATGTTCTTCTGAATTAAGGATTTCACCTTATTGTGGCATTTTCCAGGATGAGTAAAATTAGCTCCTCCCTAGGATTAGTCCCAAACCCAAAATTAAACTAGAATTTACCGGGAAAGGATATAACTGGGCTCTAATTCATTTACATGTACAAAATTGTTTAGGGATCCAAGAGTAGCATAAAAGTACCACAGACTTTGCTGCTTCCTCAAGCTTCCTAAAGTTCTTTGGTGTTTCCTTTGGGGCTAACGTCCCACTCCGTCTTCAACTGAGGCTCTTGACTTCATTTCAGGCTAAATTTTGTCAACGACTTTTAAACAAATGAAACCAATTATCCAATCGGAAAATAAATTGTCAATTAACATAGCTTAAGCAGAATCCTGTCTTTCTGTGATAGTATCTACAAGTTACTTTTAATGGAAATTCATCTGCATCCCTGGCCAGGAATTTTGGCCCTTGCTTTTTCATCAGTATGTGAATTATATGTTCCGGATAAACAATCTAGGTTCATTCAAAACCAAACAAAGAAAGCTAACTGTACTTGTTACTATTATTGATAACTAAAGCCCTGTGAAGACAGACAAGTGATACATCGGGCAAAGCATGAGACAAGAAGTCGGCTTCTGTGGATTGTGGTCTTAGCTTTGCTATTTATAAGCTATACACCCCATGTATAAGTTACATAATCATTCAAGCTGCAGTTTCCCTATCTATAGAATGTAATGCTTAAGAGCACAGACTCCAGCTGTCTGGGTTTGAATCCTGGCTTTGCCACTTGCCAGCTGTGACACTTTGGAAAGGTCTCTTAACCTCACTGTGCCTCAGTTTCCTCATTTGTAAAAAGGAGATAATATTAGTACTTCCCTTCCAGAGCTGTTGGGAGGATTAAGTGATACGTATATTATGTATGTTATATATATTAATTTATACTGTAGATATATATTTATACATGGAACCCTGGTGGCATAGTGGTTAAGAGCTACAGCTGTTAAAGGTCGGCAGTTCGAATCCACTAGCCACTCCTTGGAAACCCTATGGAACAGTTCTGCTCTGTCCTGTAGGGTCGCTGTAAGTGGGAATTGACTTGACAGCAACACATTATATACTTACATATAGAAATAAAATACGGGCCTGGCACATAGTAAATGCTGCTTACGTGTTCGTTATTATCATCATTACTACCTGTAAAATGAAGAGAGTTTGGAGCAGATGATGGAGGGTTTTACAGCTGCAGTATCTAGCCCTTGGCTTCACTGATGAAGTAATCACAGCTGAGGACATGAAGTAACTTACCTTCTTCACGAAGTGAGGTATCAACTGAGATTAGACCAGATACCAGGTCTCCTAACTCCTAGGTCCAAGGTATTTTACTATTCTAGTCTGTTTTTCTGAAAAACTGCACTAACTTCTTACTTTTACTCAGACCGGCTATGTTCTACGTTGCTGAAATAGAGATTTAAATATAGCAAAGTATCTAAATAATCTCGCAATAGCCAAATCAACCGTGAGTTGGAATCAAAGGCTTTGTAGCTGTTGATGAGAATGCAGCCGCTGCCCTCTGCTGGTTTGTCTACACATTGCATCATTCCTTGTCTCACTTCTAATTGGCTCTCCTAAAAGTTGGACAGGAAGTCCTGATGGCGCAGTGGCTAAGCACTTGGCTGCTAACCGAAAGGTTGGTGGGTGAAACCCACCAGCTGCTCTGCGGGAGGAAGATATGGCAGTCGGCTTCTGTAAAGATTGCAGCCTCGGAAACCCTATGGGGCAGTTCTACTCTGTCCTGTAGGGTCACTATGAGTCGGAATTGACTCGACAGCAGTGGATTTAAAAGCTGGACTCAAATGTGTGGGAGTAAGTGGGAACATTTTTTTAGGATGAAGTGAAACAACAAGATGCTGACTGTATTAACTGGGAAAGAAGCATAATCTGGAAGAGAATTCTATGAGCCTCTCCCCGTCCTTCCCCCCAGAGGACCCCTCCAGACGCTTGCCTCCATGTGAAGACGCCTTTTGTCTTTATTATTTTTTTCTTATCTCCAAAAATTGCTTCATATTCTAGAAACTGTCTATTAAAGAGAGAGGTCTTTTTGTAGGAGATGGTTCACAACCTTATTTACACATCTATTTTGGGGGTTCTGATTCCCCATTATTTTTGTCTTTCTTCCCCTCTTCCCAAATGTCATCGATTCTCAGACGCACAGTTTTCCAGCTTCTCCCTCTTACTCTCTGTCTCTCTTTCCTTTAATTTTTTTCCTTTTGTTTATGCTTTATTTTCTTATGTTACTTATTTATGTTGTTTTTGTGTCCGTGTATTGCTAAGCAAGGCTGTTAGGGTTTATAATGTTTCAGTGTCTCTAAGGAGATTCTGGTTTCAAGCTTCATGTAGGTGAGCCTGCTCTCTTTTCACACAAACAATCCTGGTTCTGTCTGACTAAAGAAGTAAGAGATTTCCAAATAAATAGGCATTCTTAACTAGTGTTCCCAAGTTTGCATTGAGCGCTATTGTTTTAAATGACTTCTCTATCATGTATTCAAGACCAGAGGAACGGGATCATTTTTTTGGTACGGTTTTATATCCACAGAATCTTGCCAGTTCTTTGAAAATACTTATCTGATTTGTCCTTCTCTTCTGTAACAGTTACTATCAGCCTGCTCCGAGCTCTTTACCCCTTCATCTAGATTCCAACAGCCTCCTAACTGGCCCCCCTGCCTCCAGCCTCTCCCTGCTCTGATCCACCAAGCCCAAAACTGTTTTTCCTATTTCCCCAGAGATAATTTTCAACACATAGCTTCCCCAGTGAGAATCCTGCTGATTTTTTAAATTGCAACAAGTCCAGACTCGCTGACCTGACATTTCAAGATCCTTCATGGTTTGGACTCTTACCTGCCCAGATTTCTGTTTTCTACCCTGGCACTTTAAGAGATCTACCCCATCCTCTGTAAATGCCATGCTTGTTCTCTCATCTACCATCCCTCCTAAGTGGAACTGGCCTCCTTTCCTCACCACAGACCTCTGCCTCGTAGACCCCACCCACCCTTCAGGTCCAACTCAAGTGTTCCTCCTCTGCCAAAAAGCTCCCGATTCCACCAAGCAGCATTGCTCTCTACCTTTCCTGACAGCATCTATTATTTTTTTCTTTCTCTTCTGATGTAGTTCAACTTTATACGTTATTATTATCTAGTGTCTTGAATTGCCTTTCCAGTGTGTCCATACTCGTTCACCAGATCACAAGTTCCTGTAGAAACTTTTTTGGCATCTATTTCTTTAATATCTTCAAAGCCCTTAGACTCAAGTACACTAATTAACTAATGTTATTATAGCACATGCTATGTAACCTTCCCTGTTCTAAGTTCTCGATTCATTTAATTCTCACAAGGACACTATGAAATAGGTACTGCTTTCTCATTTTACAAATGAGAAATGCAAAGCACAGAGAGGTTAAATAACTTACCCAAGAGCACACAGCGAGTAAGTAGCAGAACTGATCTTCATCCTCGGGCCGTCTGGCTCCAGAGTTCGTCTCTTACCCACCGTACTGTATCTAGTCACATGGGTGTAGTTGTGGTCAGTTGCCATGGAGTCGATTCCGACTCATGGTGATGCCATGGGGCGGGCCCTCAGTGATGCGTGTTTTCCTGTTTGCAGGAAAAACAGAAGAAATACATAGTCGTCATCAAAACAGAATCCCATTTCATAATTGTCAAGAGTAATTCCTCCCAGGTCCATGTATGTAGCAGGTGTGCCTTCATAAAACTCCTGAGAAGAGCCTGTATCAGTCATTTCCCATACGTATCTAGGTCAATACTTGTTCATTCCAGACATCTGCTTAGGGGCATAGGACAAGGTCGAGGTCTGGAGAGTCTTTGAGGTCACCAAGCCTTATTGCACAGTCCCTGACCTCCCTCCTCATGTCCCAAAATACAGAAGAGTTCCAAATGATTACACGGCTTATTTAAATGGGTAAGGATCCGCAAAGCTGGTTCAAGCACGTGGCTTTATCCCTGGCATCTTTAGAATCAAATGTGAAGTCGGGAAACGCTGATTATCCAAATAGGAACCTGGCTTTTCATGTTTGTAATGTGCTGTTTTCTCCTTAGAACACCTTGCGCAGAATATATCTAAGTCACATCTGGAGACTTGCCAATACTTGAGAGAAGAGCTCCAGCAGATAACGTGGCAGACCTTTCTCCAGGAGGAGATTGAAAACTATCAAACGAAGGTACCGTCCAAGCCTAGGGTTGAGGCCAAGTTGGGAAGGGTGTGTTGATGGCAGGAGAGCTGGTCAGGAGTACGCAACAGACTGCAGAAAGAATGTCTTGCATCAAATGTCAGTTTTCAGTTTAAAAATCTTCCTCCAGAGCTGATGGTGTACTTCAGGCCTTGCCGCCTTACTGACATGCCAGCTTGCAAAATCTAAGTCAGTGATCATGAGCGAGTTCTATTGTGCTTATAAGTATACACGTATCTCCTTCAGTTTGTCAACAGGGGACTAGATTAAGCAGCTTCCCAGAGGCTAAATGAATTGGGATTTGTCCCACTATCACAATGGCAGGTTTTAAGGCCGAGGAGCTGGAGTAAAATAATCTTAGTGTCTTCTGTCCAGAAGTTAAGAAGAAGGAGTTTAAAGAGTGCGTTCCAAAAAGGTTTTGGCATCTGTGACCGCAACTCCAATCTGAACCTAGCCATGTGGGGCTGAAACATAGTGCCCCTACTTGCCTTCTGGAAAACACTCTGATCAATAAGCTACTAAAGTGGCAGACATGGAGGAGGGCAAGATGGGAGATGGGGAACTTTCAACTGTCCATTCTGTCTTTGGTAAAAGAAAATGCTGCTGTTTTTCCCAACAATCATAGAAATTCAAGGTTGGAAAGGCCCTTAGAGATTTTCTGGACTAATTGTCTCCTTCATTTTACATATGCAGAAGCTAAAGTCCCAGGAGGGCTAAATGAGTTTCCATATTTTAAATATGAGGACACTAAAGTCCCGTGGCATATGGCTGGAGAGTGAAAACATCAAGACTAGAATCCATGACTGTTGTTAGGTGCCATGGAGTCGATTTCGACTCATAAGGACCCCATGTGACAGAGAAGAACTGCCCTTTAGGGTTTTCTCGGCTATAATCTTTGTGGAAGCAGATCACCAGGCCTTTCTCCCACAGAGCCACTGGGTGGGTTTGAAACGCCAACGTTTCCGTTAGCAGCTGAGTGCTGAACAGTTGCACTACCAGGACTGTGACTGCTGGCTTTTAATTCAGGGTTTCTTCCACCCCATCCTATTGGTGGGAACAGCCTTAAGCTAAGATTGGAGAAACGAGAGCACCATAACAGACTGAGGTCGCCCTGTAACTGGAGAGTGAGTATATATAAGGAATTGAACGGGACATGTTAGGGAACAGGAACGCATCACGTTGTTTGCCTGTGAGAGAGCAGGTAACACCAGCAGCCAGACTAACAAAGGGGAATGCAGAGTAGGACACGGTGACATCACTAGAGTTGGTGTCACCCTCCCCACGGACTTCCTCCCATACCTGACAATACAGAATCCTTAGTAATGTTTTCTGTACTAATGTTACTTGTGAATCATAATTCCCATGTATCACTCCTTCTTTTCCTTTAATTACTACTTCATTCTCAAAAAAAGTTATTGCTATAGGTTCACAAATACTAGTTACCACTATGTTGTAGCTGAAACCTCAGGAAACTTGAAAAATCAGTGGCTATAAAACCACCAGCAGTAATGAAAATAACAGCGCCCGCTTGTAGCGCGTGCAGATGAAACCACATGATTTCAAGCATCACTGTAATTGGGTAATATTGACAGATCTGACCAGAGGACATTACAAAGTTCAAAAAGTAAATTAACACAGAGTTTTAGCCTTGTAGGTATATTGATGCATGTAAGCTGGGCCTACGAAGTTTTTGTTGTTATAACTAACTGCAGGGGTATTTTTATAAAAAAAAAAATACTAAATTTTGGTGTCACCCCCTCTGACAGTGTCACCCAGCGCGGTCCACATCCCCTGCACCCCCTAGTGATGCCGCTGATAATACATGCTTGGATCTGAATCACAGCTCCTTGCCTCCTAGCTTGAAACTTCTGTGAGCTTTAGTGCCCATTCCTATAAAATAGGAAAATGGCCCTGTGAAAACAAAATAAGGCAAGAAGGTCATAAAGCACCTAGCTCGTAATAGATGCACAATAAATTTCATGGACTCTCCGGTCCTTCCCTTCCCCTAAATAAAATGGTATTAAATTCCCCAAAGCAAAGCAGCATCTCAAGGGAAGATACTCCTTTGCTTCTCTCAGTGGGCCAGGGCTAAAGTGATGGAATGCGTTGCTTTTCCTGGCTCTTGTGTTTTGGTTTTTTGTTCTCTAACCCTCTAGCCTTTTTGAATCTACTTCCAAAGATGGATTTTACAAAATAGGAACGGTTGCACCAACGGTGCCAAGGCCATGGGTAAACGTGCATCTGGATGTCTTCCTCTCTATCAGCAGCGGGAGGTGATGTGGCAATTATGTGCCATCAAAATCACAGAAGCTATTCAGTATGTGGTGGAGTTTGCCAAACGCATCGATGGATTTATGGAACTGTGTCAAAACGATCAAATTGTGCTTCTCAAAGCAGGTATGTGCTTTGCAGGTAAATTTTGAGATTTCTTTCCTAACCCACTTATTAAAGAAACGCTTGGTAAGGAAGGTGTCGGGATGGTTTTGTTCCGATGATAATCGCTCAGATTTCTCTTAGCAGAAACTGAGGGCTTTGTAAAGGGTTTTGAACTATTTTCAGGAAACATACCCTCTGTTTTGCCCACCCCACCCCCCAGGTGAAGAGATTAATTTGATCAACACCTGCAACCCCAAATTTTACCATCACGTGTGTTGTGCCTACACTCGAGATCCTCTGGGGTTACAGTAAGTTGTTAAGAAGAAGGCTGTTTGTGGAACTCAAAGACACGTCCTTGTTTTTTGTTGTTGGGTGTTTTGTTTTCTTTATTTTTTTTAAGTATGAATAAATGTTTTCCTAGCAACTTTGAGACTACATGGCCAGGCAGAATGGGGCCAAGGAAGTAATTTGTGCAAATCAGTCCTCTCTTCTGTAAAAAGTCCTCAGCTTCAGCACAGTAGTCTTTAATTACAGTAGTAAACCCTGCCTTTTGGCTAATGTGACCGAGAGCCCACTAGCTGAACTGCACACAGCTCCCACTGTGCTGTCCAGAATGGTTCTCTCCATTCGCACCATGGAAAAGCTCCCTAAAATACACTAATCCAAACCGTGTCTGCCCTCACCCAGGTTCTCTAGAGGTGGTGTTCATCAGAATGTGCCGTGCCTTCGACCCCCAGAACAACACCGTGTACTTTGATGGGAAGTATGCTAGCCCGGACGTCTTCAAATCCCTAGGTGAGGAAATGGCAAAGTGCTTGATCTTTACATCAGGACTATAGGGAAAGATGTGGGTGGAGTGACAGCTCTTATTGAACAAAATGGAAACTAGTTATTTGGAAATACAACGTAAAGAATTTTACTATATATATATAGACAGAGAGATACACTGTGTATGTGTGTGTATATATAAATACAAAGTATCGTTTTACTTTATATTTAACCTGTAGAAGATATACACAGCTCAAAAGCTTTTTAACAAAATTACATGTAAAGAATCTAAAGTTTCCTTTTATCTAGTTGGTAATCAAAGAGATTTATGTGCCCTTCCAGTTTTCTTCCAGATTTTTAGAAACCAGATTTATAGGGGATATGTTAGCCAGATAACTTAGAAGACGTGATTTGATACATAAAATCAAGCAAGGAGCTAAAGGTCTACACTAGCAACCCCTCAAACAGCAACCATTAATGAAAATTAGATGCGGATGTCAAAGAAATAAAATACAGCTAAGTGAAGCTGTGACATATACATACATAAATGAAGGATTTGTGGATTTCTGTAATTTAAATAAAGTAGAATGTAGTCATTAAGAAGACTGGAAGATACCCAAGATATGTTGTTAAGTGATTTTTTAAAAAAGTTAACAGAAAGCATGTGTAGTTAGGTAAAGGGTTGCCCATTGCGATTTAAATATATGTTAATGGGCAGGGTGTCTGCACTAACAGCCTTACGTGAACAAAATACAGAAAAGCTAATGGCATTTGAAGCAATATTCTCAGACATGGTGCAACTTCATTTTCCTCCATAATACACAGAATTGCTCCACTTTCAGAATTTGAGCCATTATATATGCATATGAATATGAATGTGTACACGTATATGTATATATATGTATGTATATCCACCACTCGTCTATCAGTTTTTTGTACTGTGGTCGCTTGCGTGTTGCTGTGATGCTGGAAGCTATGCCACCGGTATTTCAAATACCAGCAGGGTCACCCATGGTAGACAGGTTGCAGTGGAGCTTCCAGACGAAGACAGAGTAGGAAGAAGGACCTGGTGATCTACTTCTAAAGCAATTGGCCAGTGAAAACCTTATGGATAGCAGTGGAACATTGTCTAGTATAGTGCCAGAAGCTGAGCCCTTCAGGTTGGAAGGCACTCAGAATATGACTGGAGAAGAGCTGCTTCCTCAAAGTAGAGTTGACCTTAGTCATGTGGACAAAGTAAAGCTTTCATGACCTTCTTTTGTTGATGTGGCACAACTCAAAATGAGAAGAAATAGCTGCAAACATCCATTAATAATCAGAGCATGGAATATATGAAGTATGAACCTAGAAAAACTAGAAGTCGTCAAAAATGAAATGGAATGCATAAAGATTGATATCCTAGGCATTAGTGAGCTGCAATGGACTGGTATTGACCATTTTGAATCATATGGTCTACTATGGCAAGAATGACAAAATAAAGAGGAATGGTGTTGCATTCATCATCAGAAAGAACATCTGAAGATCGATCGTGAAGTACAGCACTGTCAGTGATAGGATAATATCCGTACACCTACAAGGAAGTCCAGTTAATATGACTGTTATCTGCACCAACCTCTAATCCCAAAGATGAAGAAACTGAAGATTTTTACAAACTTCTGCAGTCTGAAATTGATCGAACATGCGATCAAGATGCATTGATAATTACTGGTGATGGGAATGCAAAAGTTGGAAACGAAGAAGGGTATGTAGTTGCAAAATTATGGCCTTGGTGATAGAAACAACTCTGGAGATCACATGACAGAATTTTGCAAGACCAACGACATAGTCACTGAAATACCTTTTTCAACAACGTAACTGGTGACTCAAATCGACTACATCTGTGGAAGGAGACGATGGAAAAGCTCAATATTACCAGTCACTACAAGCCAGGGGCCAACTGTGGAACAAACCATCATATGCAAGTTCAAGTTGAAGCTGAAGAAAATTTAAACAAGTCCATGAGAGCCGTAAGTACGACCTTGAGTATATTCCAGCTGAATTTAGAGACCATGTCAGGAATAGAGGTAACACACTGAACATTAATGACTGAAGAAGACCAGACAAGGTGTGGGATGACATCAAGGACATCATATGTAAAGAAAGCTAAAGGTCATTAAAAAGACAGGAAACTAAGAAAAGACCAAAATGGATGTCAGGAGAGACTCTGACACTTGCTCTTGAACGTAGAGTAGCTAAAGCAAATGGAAGAAATGATGAAGTAAAAGAGCTGAACAGAAGATTTCAAAGGGTGGTTCGAGAAGACAAAGTATTATGAAATGTGCAAAGACCTGAAGTTAGAAAATCAAAAGGGAAGAACACGCTCGGCATTTTTTCAAGATGAAAGAAGTTAAGGAAAAATTCAAGCTTTGATTTGCAATGTTGAAAGATTGTATCTGTAAAATATTGAATGACACAGGAAACATCAAAAGAAGATGGAAGGAATACACAGAGTCACTGTACCAAAATGATGTGGTTGACATACAGCCATTTCGGGAGGCAGTATATGATCAAGAACTGACAGTATTGAAGGAAGATGCAGTGAAGGCACTGGCGAAAAACAAGGCTTCAGGAATTCACGGAATACCAACTAAGATGTTTCAAAAAACAGATGCAGCGCTGGAGGTGCTCACTCATCTATGCCAAGAAATTTGGAAGACAGCTAACTGGCCCACTGACTGGAAGAGGTCCGTATTTGTGCCCATTCCAAAGAAAGGTGATCCAACAGAATGTGGAAATTATTGAACAATATCATTAATATCACATGCAAGTAAAATTTTGTGGAAGATAATTCAAAAATGGTTGCAGCAGTACATCGACAGGGAACTGCCAGCAATTCAAGCTGGATTCAGAGAGGATGTGAAATGAGGGATATCATTGATGTCACATGGATCTTGGCTGAGAGCAGAGAATACCAGAAAGATGTTTGTTGTTGTTAGGTGTCGTCCTGTCGGTTCCAACTCACAGTAACCCTGTGTACAACAGAACGAAACACTGCCCGGTCCTGCACCATCCACCCGTGTTTTATTGACTATTCAAAGGCGTTTGACTGTGTGGATCATCACAAATTATGGATACCATTGTGAAGAATGGGAATTCCAGAACACTTAATTGTGCTCATGAAGACATAGACCAAGAGGCAGTCGTTCAAACAAAACATGGGGATATTGCATGGTTTAAGATTAGGAAAGGTATGCATCAGGGTTGTATCTTTTCACCATATTATTCAACCTCTATGCTAAGCAAATAATCCGAGAAGCTGGATTATAAGAAGAAGAATGCAGCGTCAGGATTGGAGGAAGACTCATTAACAACCTGCAACATGCAGATGACACAACCTCGCTTGCTGAAAGCGAAGAGAACTTGAAGCACTTACTGATACAGATCAAAGGCCACAGCCTTCAGTATGGATTACGTCTCAAAATAAAGAAAACAGAAATCCTCACAGCTGGACCAATGAGCAGCAGCATGATAAATGGAAAAAATACTGACGTTTTCAAGAATTTCATTTTACTTGGATATATAATCAACACCCATGGAAGCAGCCGTCAAGCAATCAAAGGACACGTTGCAGTGGGCAAATCTGCTGCAAACGATCTATTTAAAGTGTTGAAAAGCAAAGATTCACTTTGCGGACTAAGGTGCTCCTAAACCAAGCCATGGTGTTTTCAGTCACCTCATAAGCATGTGAAAGCTGGACAATGAATAAGGAAGACCTAGGAAGCATTGATGCCTTTGAATTATGGTGTTGGCGAAGAATATTGAATATACATGGTCTACCAGAAGAATGAACAAATCTGTCTTGGAAGAAGTACAACCAGAATGCTGCTTAGAAAGGAGGATGGCGAGACTTTGTCTCAAGTCTTTTGGACATGTCATCAGGAGGGACCAGTCCCTGGAGAAGGACATCATACTTGGTAAAGTAGAGGGTCAGCAAAAAAGAGGAAGACCCTCAAGGAGATGGATTGACACAGTGGCTGCACCAGTGGGCTCCAACATAGCACCAAATGTAAGGATGGTGCAGGACCGGGCAGTGTTTCCTTCTGTTGTACACAGGGTTGCTGTGACTTGGAACCTACTCTACAGCACCTGACAACAACAACATGTGTATGTATATTAAATGCAAGTTAGAAAGAATAGACACCAAACCTAACCAGTCTTTGGGGGATGGGATTATTAGAGAACTTTCACATTCTATGTTTTCGGTTCGGTAATTGTCAGAATAGTTTTATTACCAGAATGTGTCATTTGTTAATGTTTTAAAGGGCCTATTACTTGCAGTATAGTAGAAGACAAAAATGGGTAAATTTAGCATTTCGGTGAGATTGTAGCTGTCAAACTCTCCTGATTAAGCGTGTGGGCTCCGAAGTCAGGCAGCCTGGGTTTGAGACTCAGCCTCTTACTTCCTCCTTGGGTGGCTTTGGGTAAATTATTTTTCTCTCCAAGTCTCAGTTTTCTCACCTCTAAAATGGGGATAGTAATGATAATACTTCCTTCCTAGGGCTGTTGTGAAAGAGGAGGAAACCCAGAGAAATCTCTTAGAGCAGTACCTCATGTGGCAATCCTACAACGAACGTTCACTCTCGTTATTATGAACGATGATGATGGTGACATCGGCTAAGCAGATTTTTCTTTTAAGATTTCAAACTATCAAACCGTCCAAGTGCTGTTACTATTCCCTCTGATCTGTAGCCATTTTTACTGCAACCCTCCTTACCGTCCTCCACATTTTCTTCCAGAATAATACAGAAATCCTAAACCGTCTCTATTTTAATTTTGGCAGGTTGTGAAGACTTTATTAGCTTTGTGTTTGAATTTGGAAAGAGCTTATGTTCTATGCACCTGACTGAAGATGAAATTGCGTTATTTTCTGCATTTGTACTGATGTCAGCAGGTGAGATAACCAAATAAAGATAAGATGGTTTAAAAATTGTTCCGGTAAAGAATTTTTTTTACAACGTGCGTAACTTTTTATGATTACAGAGTATTTGGAGGGCAACCAGAAGAGACTGCTACCCTTATTAAATCTAATTTTAAGTTTTAAAATAATGAATGACGACGATGATGGTGATATTGGCTACGCAGACTTTTCTTTTAAGATTTCAAACTATTAAACCGTAGACGTGCTCACACACATATACCCTTTTAAGAAGATCTTAATGCCTTTCAGATAAAATTTTAAGAAATGAGAATTGAATAAAACCTCGTCTAGAATTCACCTGTGGTGGGATAAGATTGCCTTTCTTAACACCAATCTCCAAGAGAAGAGGTGGTTTTTAAGACATCTTGCTTTCTCCTTAAAATCCATTTGAATGTCATCCGCAAGTTTATCTGAATTTAATCTGTGTTTTCAACCAGTACTCTCTCGGGGGTAATCAGTTTTGCAAATTTACTATCTTCTATTTCGGATTCTTACAAAAAAACTTTATCCTGAGTTAACCACCCTTAAGTCATTTGAAATTCTGTTAGCACGTTCAGTTGCCTTGGATTCTGAGGCACTTTTCATATGTGCCAAAAAAGTTTGCAGGATGAGTATGAGTATTTCATTCAGAAATGTAATTATTAGGAGGCTGGAGGGGTTGAGGTGGTTTCATTTGCACACATACAGGTGTGACCTTCAATTAAAATGGCTGTCCTTTTGAAAGGGGAAAATCTTTCTTTCCTTTAAGCATCAGTAGAAATGGAAAGGTTTAAAATCCTGTTTTATAACTGTTGGAGATGAGTTTTCACTCCTGCGGGAACACATTTTGAAAGAGTGGAACTGGCCGTCAGTCTCTAAATAGGCCTTGTGCTGTAATAATCTGCGGCTAAGAGTCGAAAGGAATGAAGTGTTCGACACCATGTTGGAGGAATACTAAGGAGTATCATTTTTCGTGTTTAGATCGCTCGTGGCTGCAGGAAAAGGTAAAAATTGAAAAGCTGCAACAGAAAATTCGGCTAGCACTTCAACACGTCCTACAGAAGAATCACCGAGAGGACGGAATACTAACCAAGGTGAGGGACACAGGGTTTCCATTTGGCATGGCCTCCTTTATTGCATGGCGCAGCTTATGCTCCCTGCTGCGCGTGTACGATAACAAGGTGGTTTCTCTGACCAGCCTCCAAAAGCATCAGTAAGGAACAGGCTCCTGAAAAGAAAGAAGCACCTCCATTTTGAAAAATTCTGTTGTTCAGATTAAACTCCTTATTCAGACTAAATTCTATTTATTATCATGGCTTACAAAGTATCTTGCAATTGCGGGACAGGAGCAAAAAACAATTTTTGTTTAATTTTTAGTACATTCTGGAAATCCTCCTCCTATTCCATCCAAGTTGGAGACAAAGTAGAGGCAATGTTCTGCATTGATAGAGAAGGAGTCTTTGAATTTAGAAGGAAGAAGATATTAAGGGCTTAAAGAATTAACCACTGCATACTTTAATATTAGTTCTATTTCCATTAAATGTGTTCGTGATCAATAGTAAATGACTTTTGTACTTTCTTCTTCAGCTTCTTATTACTACCCTGTATTCAAAGCATAATGTTTCATTTTTACTAATTATAATAAAAATATAATTAGGCTGTCAATTTAAAATACACTCATATCCTTCAGTGGTCATGGTAATGGTATGAGTTTAGTCTTTGAAAAATTAGCCCCATTCTCTTAGATTATTTTACATGTTTTATTGGTTTTTTTGTTTTTGATTATTTATTTTGTTTTCTCCTCATAGCTAGGTTACGGTGTTTAAGGACAGAAAGGGGAATCTGGGGGGTTAATTACTATTTTGTTTTTGGTGTTGTTAAATGAGAAATAGGGGAAGGAATGGGAAATGGAAGGGAAAAAACGGTTAGGAGCTTCTTTCTCCTCTCTTCCTTGCCCCAGTGCAGGCATCCCATCGTTGTTGTGTGCCAGCCAGTAGCTTCAGACTCATAGAGACCCGTTAGGACAGAGGAGAACTGCCCCGTAGGGTTTCCAAGGCTGTAATCTTTACTGGAGCAGATCACCAGATCTTTCTCCCACCTGCAGAGCGGGCTGGTGGGTTAGAACCGCCGACCTTCTGGTTAGCAGCTGAGCACTTAACCACTGTGCCACCAGGGCTCCTAAGTGTACCGTGAGGTTCTTTTTATTTTAAGGAGCCCCTCACCATGGACAAGATCTGGTGAGAACATTCCTTGGAAAGGATTGTTTCAGGTTGAAATAATAAGCGTTTTGCATTTGTATAGTGTTTTAAAGTTTACATAGCATTTTTTCCAAGTGTATTGTTATCTCAGTTGATGAACAGTCAGTGCTGGGAGTTCAGTCCAGGCCTTCTGACTCTTTGTTTTTTTTCACTCCAGGCCTTTTGCTGAAGCCTGGAATGGCTTTGTTATAGGGAAAGCTCTTCATTGAGAAGAATCTTGTTGCTTTGGGGTTGACCAGTACTTGTTCTATATGAAGGGTATAAGGGGTGCGGTCAGCTGTGGTCTCATGCCCACCCTCCTCATGACTGTCCCTCACCCTCTCCTTTCCCATCAAATCTCTTCTTTTCCTGAAGTGGCAGAGGGCAGGAAGGAAAGGATGGTAGAGTGGGAAGCACATTAGAATAGGAGGAGGCTGTAAGAGACTCAGGTTCTTGTCCTGACTGCCACTAACAGGCTGTGCCAACTTCTGCTTATGAACATTTTTTCATGTTATTAAATTATTCACCTTCAAACTCATTTTTTAATATATATCTTGTGTTCTATGATATGACCACATCATCATTTTTCCCAAGCCTCAATAATTAGACGTTTAAGTTGGCTTCAAGTGTTTCACCGTGACAATGTCGTGAAGATCAGCCAGACGCCCTGCTTCTTGCTCCTCGTGCCTGTTCTCTCCTGACCACGTGTCTTTCTTTCCACTTACAGTTAATATGCAAGGTGTCGACATTAAGAGCCTTATGTGGACGGCATACGGAAAAGCTAATGGCGTTTAAAGCAATATATCCAGACATTGTACGACTTCATTTTCCTCCATTATACAAGGAGTTGTTCACTTCCGAATTTGAGCCAGCGATGCAGATTGATGGGTAGATGTATCACCTGAGCACTTCTAGAATGTCTGAAGTACAAACATGAAAAGCAGACCCACACACATTAACCGAGACACTTTATATGGCCCTGCCCAGACCTGGCGCGCCAACACACCGTGCCCATCATTTGGTGATCAGTGTCAGGCAAAGGAGGGAAACAATGAAAACAAGTAAAAGGTGAACTTGTTTTTCTCATGCATATGATTTCCATTATGCCTACAGATATGGACCCTTTTTCTGTCTCGACTTCTTGACCGCTGGCCTCTGTTTACACAGAAGGAGGGTACTAGAGTCGAAGGAGCTCCTTTTCTTGTAGCTCACTGCCCAGAGACTTCCTGAAGCGTCACCCATCTGTCACTCACCACAGAGAGACCCGCAGTAATCGGTGGCTGGTGTGCATAGCGGAGCTTGCGGCATTACTTTGCACAACTTGCTCTTTGTTTCATGAAGGAAGATTTTTTGTTTTGTTTTTCATTTTTCACCGATTATTGCCAGTCGGCAGGACGGCATGAAAAGGGTCCATAGCACTAGCAACAATAGCATTATAATATATTACAGGGTAAATGGGCATGAAGACTATATATATAGCTAAAAGAGATATTGTTTATATATTGTTTTAATTAATATAAAATGTAGTTACTGGTGTAGCTTTTCCTGTTGAACTGATAAGGCACTTTCATTTTGCACCTTTTTCTTTAAATTAAATACTAGCGTGTTCACTGCCGCGTCACACGTACCCCAGAAACACAAGTTTAACTGAGAAGAAGGCTTGGCAGGTACGTCGGGAGGTGTTTATGCTGCTGTTTACAAAATTCCTTTTAAAAGACTGGCTGGTCATATCTAGAAATCACGATGTTGAATTGTTTCCTTTTTTTTTCTTTTTTCTTTTTAACACATGGATTGGGAATTAGAAACGGGACGCTCCCTAAATTATACTTTGCTTTTTGGTGAGTTTCCGGGTAGATGTCTTTATGCTTCATACAAAGTTGAATGTTTGATGGGTGTTGTGGATTTATGGTATCATGCACTTTTAAAAAAAAAAAAATTAAAAGCTTTTTTAAATGCCACCTTGTGGAGACAGGGAAGGAGAGGCTCATTTTATACAATTCAGTAGCTGCGTGGACTCAATCTCCACTTGGAATCCTTATGCTTTGAGAACAAATCGATAACGAGAATATTTATTGAAATCTAGCTTTTATTTTAAGAAGGACCCAAAGATTATATCTGGAGCAAACGCCCACTCCACTTACGAGGACATGAAGCGTATACTTTGTGAATGTTTATGTTCTTAGAAACAGTAAGAGTTTATCCCAGAGTGACCTAATTCTAGACTAGCTGCCTCTAGATGTTACCCTTCTAGAATATTGCTCTCCAGCTTGTCTAGACAATGGCTAGGACGGTGAGGGAGGCATACAATGTTGAACCAGTGTCTCTTATTTAAATAGTAAATATTTTCAGCCTTGAAAGTGAAGTTGATGCTAGCTGCAAACATTTACTCTTGTATTTATCTTTACTAGAAAACTGTGGACTGTAATTTATTTTATTAACTATTTAGCAGATTGTTGGGCTTTTGTGTTCAGGTGCGACCTAGTGATTTGTGTTACTTTGGTTTTGTCTTGCATAATCCCCAGTGGGGGCTGGGGGGGCAGGGGGGTGTTGGGAAGGGAACAGTCCAGTATACAAGTGTGCACGTTTGGAAAACAGGGTGACCTTTCCAGAACCTCAGCATTGCGAGCACGATACCGCTCACACGTGTGGGATTCACGCCTCTGGTCTGATATTCACGGCCTTGTGTGTACATGTTTCTACAGCGAGGAAACATCTTTCCGTGGCGTAAAGGTGGGAGTTTCAAACAGCCCTTTGCAGACCAGAAACTGTCTCCTCTGCCCCTCAGATCCTTCCTGAATTTTCCTCAGGAATTCGGCTCCTGATGCCATGCTGGATCCCCAGCCTGGGTTCCCCAGGGCCCTTCACTGTTTTTAACCCCTCTGACTTGTTTCGAGAGGGACTTGGACAAGGGGAAGGGATTATTTACAAAGAAGTATGTATGAAGCCTAAATAACATCTAAATTTTTTTTCCAAAAATATACTAAGAGTTTAACCATAAATAGAAGACGAGAGGAATATTTACTTAAATTTCTTACAGATGTATAAAACTTTAATGTGTTTACATAGAGAGGTTAAGTGTTGGCATATAGTATTTATACTGGGGCAAGAAGGGTTAAGTCAAATTTTTTAAATTTAAGTAAGCATAGTTCCTTTAAAGATCAATAGTATTTATACTCTTAAAAAAAAAAAAACAAACCAAGCTTAGTTCAGTTATTTATTTGTCCATTTCATTCTGTTCTTGGTCCTTTGGGGGAAAAGGGTGCTTGACTCTGGGGGTCGGGGGGCTTGTTTTGTTTTCTTTTTGGTCATTCCAATTCACTAAAATTGGGGATGGTTTTATTAAAGTACATTAACTTCTTTTTAACCAAAGCTTTCTGAATATGACCAGCCTCAGGTGCTAGCGTATTAAAGAGCAACTAAACCTAATTTCAGTGTCCATGCGAGATGCTAAGAGCTAATTGAACTTCTCCAAGGGTGAGAGAGAACTGAATGTTGAACTTAAAAGAAACTCCTTTCCAGATAGGATTTTGCATGTACCTAATGCCAAAAAAAAACCGAGGCTCTAATCTCCGTAATAGTCCCTTCCTGTGACGTTGTCTGTATGGGAAACCAAGATACGGCGATGTGATGCTGTGGCTAGGTCGTTCTGAGGGAAGAGCAGGGTGTGGCATCTCACAGCAAAGTGCAGCGACTGTGCAGGAACAGAGTAGTAGAGACTGCTCAGTGAGATGAGGGAACAACTATTACTTGGATCCAAGTTGGGATCTGAAGTTAAACAATAAATTCAGTGGGAAAAAAAAAATGGAGTCCAGAAAAGGATGTGACAAACTTTGCATTTTTTTCTTCCCGGTTATAGAAACACCTGTGTGGTAACACAAACTACTTGGTTATTCTTAATAGTTCTTACAACTGAAGTTTCCTAAACGTGAATGTCCAATAGTCTTTTCAGGATTGGAGCCATGGCATTGTCAACTTGGCTGCTGTAAAGCATTTTAGACGATTTTTTTTACCTAGGGTCGATACGGCTTTGGTAGAAAGCCTGACCACCTTCTGTTACAGTGGCGTCCAAAGTTTGTACTGCATTGTGAAAAAACTGACCTTGATCACAATGAAAAAAAAAAAGTGCAGATGAAAGTGCTTTTTGGACAGTTTGTAAATTGCATTAAAGCTACGGATTTTTTTTTTAAAGTGTTCAGCATCCTAATTTGCGTTAAAGCTATGGATTTGTTTAAAGTCTTCGGCATCCTACTTCACCCTTCCTAATTTAGGGAAACTATGACTTATGACACTGCTTCTAAGTTTGGTTGTTCTTTATAGTGTGGAAACTCAGATCTCTGTGAGTGTGTGGGGTGGGATGGTGGGGTCAGGTGAGGAATGAGCGTGTGTGTGTGCGCGCGCGCGCGTATGATGTGCGTGCGTCAGACTGCTTCTAGGCTACTAAGTGTCAATGGAAAAGAAAATGTATTCAAAATACTTAAATCAAAACTAGAAGATGGGGAAAAGAAAAAGATTTATTCTATACAAAGCCTTGTCTGGACCACTTTAGAGAGACTTCTATTTTTTTAAACCCTTCTATAAATATTTGATGGCACTTGAAATATTCCTGCAATAAAATGTGATTTGTGTAAAGAAAAAAAAAAAAAAGATTTTGTAATGTGAAACCATGAAAGAAAGTAATGTAATTTTCTAAAAAAAAAAATACAAACAAAACAAACTTTGTATTATTTTCTTGATGGAATCTGTCTGTCTTTGGAAAACTTTTTATTTCATTGACTGTGCCATAGCAGAAATATGTGTTTTTAGTTGTAGACTAAGGAATAGCTGTTTGTGTTCCGACATTCCAAAACGCAAAACAACCTAGTCGAAACTTTAATGAAAAGGTTGAAGTAGTACGTGAGCTTCTCTCGTTGTTGCTTTTTTGCACACGTTCTCCCTTCCTCTGTAGTGCAATATGTACATAGAGCACTTGCGGGTGTACCTTGATCCCTCAGGGAAAAAAAAATACATATTTGTACAGTTTTTTGTTTTTGTTTTGTTTTTTGCCTTTTTGTTTTTGGCTAAGGAATGTCGACTGAATCACTTGTTATTGTTGAGGGGCAGCCAGATAATAATCCTAAAGCCACTGTTTCAAACATCAATGGTTGAAATCATGTGTCCTTCCCGTGCTATTATTTTAAGGTAATAATAATAAAAAGTTATTTTCTGACGGTTCTTTGTGCTGACTGGTGAAAAAAAAGGGTAAATAAGCACCTTATGATTGACTTACTGTGAATGACAATCCATCTTGACATCAACAACAGCAGCCCTATCATTTTGCAGTTGGGGTTAAGAGTCGGAAACGAAGTGCTCAGGGATCTTCTAAAACTCGTAAAACAGGGTGGCCAGTACTACTGGGGCAAATTGTGTTTTTCCTTATTAGTAAGAATGATAATAATACTATCCCTCCAAGGCACAAGTGAACTGTGTAGAACTACGTGTGTGTATGTGTGTAAACTTTTCACTGTGTCTCTGTTGAGTTGAAAACTTAATGTACTGTTCGGTCTTGTGTACTTAAAAACACTGGAAAACTTCCAAAGCAGTACATTAGTGTGTTCCAGAGAGACATTCGTATATAATGTACCGACAAGGAATATCATTCAAACTGCAGTCTTGCATACTCCACTTCCCATTCTCTGTTACCTAAAATGGAAACCCTGGTGGCCTAGTGGTTAAGAGCTACGGCCGCTAACCAAAAGGTCGGCAGTTCGAACCCACCAGGCGCTCCTTGGAAACTCTATGGGGCAGTTCTACTCTGTCCTGTAGGGTCGCTATGAGTTGGAATCGACTCAACGGCAACGGGTTTGGTTTTGGAATAACTAAAATATTCATGTTGAATATATTTATAGCATTATACATCAAAATCTATGTCAAATTCTACATACTATGGATAAAAAGTTGTTAAAACCCAGTGACCAGATGGGAGAGACCTGCCTACCAAGTGCAATGAGAGAGGTAAAAGAAAAAAACACATTTGTTTTTTTAAACGCCAGCAGACACTATTGTTTTCACTGTATCCTCTTGTAGAAACAAACCAAAATATCTCTTTATGTAAGACAATTCTACTTCCACATTGTAGTTTGTATCTGTTAAATTAATACAAGCACTGGTGTTGAAGAACAAAGCAAAGCCTGCCTATGTAACAACGGGAAGTAACTTGTCAGGTGACAACTGACATTTTTGAGATACAATCCTGTTCTCATAGTACCATATAGTACTTTCCATAATGTCAGTCAGCCTCCGTGTAATGGTTGGCTTTGATTCTTCCACATCTGAAATACAGATTCAGAACAACTGTTACATATTTTCTTACTACCGTGAGAGAGGCAATAGTTTGGGAAAATTTTGCATGTCTTACAGATCAAAAAGGTACCTTCACCTTGTTTTTTATAATAAAAAAATATGGAAAATGGCAGATATATATATATATATTACATATATGTATATGCAGGTTACTGAGATTTTTACATGTTATAATGTGTCACTTCTTTCTTGTAAAGATATGATACAACAGAACCTCATAAAACAACTTTATACTATGTTATACTATGGATCAAATTATGTGCCCAGAAATGCAATTGCAACAGTAAATCTTAATCTGTTGCTGATAGTCCCTGATACAGGTCTTCATTCGAACCCCAAACACTAGTATTATAAAGAAGTTCTGCTGGATTTGAGGAAAGAAATTTTCCTATTGTTGTCTATTTTTAAAGAGATGAAAAGGCTGACTAGCCATGTTTCCACAAAACAATTGGCTTCACTTCTGGGTCTGTTTGTTCCTTTGTTTGCTTGTTTCTTCATATGTTGAGATGAGATCGGTTCTGTCAGGCTCTCAGAATGGTTTTAAAAGTAACCCAGAAGCCTGGCTTCATCCCAAGGAACCATCCTAGATGGGGGATCTCCATGTTCAACCGGACCCTCAGAACTTAGAGCAATAAATACATTCAGTCATTTATTTATAAATGAATGACAGAATATTCAATCCAAATAGAAACAACCCTTCTTCAGCGATGCAACATAACATGGAGTCTTGTATTTAGAAAGTGAATATGAATATTTTAAATAGATGCCTAGAGAATCCGTGTTTGCTGTTTACATGTAGTGTCCTTTGTCACACTGGCAGTACCCATTTCCTTGTCTTTTTTTCCTCCTAAGAACTAAGGAGAGAGAGCTTGCCATTAGCTTTGACATACTGCGCGCGCCATCATGTTGTTCTGGAAGAGCAACTCAGTTCTCTTCAGTGTTTGTGTGTGATTCCTTTCTCACTCCTTATTCCTTTAATGTGGATGAATACTATTCCTAGGAACTTGATTATCATTGAATAGATCGCATATGTAAATGCAGATAGTTCTTGAGCAATATAGTGAATATGAGTTCACAAAAAAATTCGTATGTACTGTACACATCTTCCTGAATCCGAAATTCTCTTCTTGTCCGTAATGGTTTGAAATCTCATATAAAACAGTGGTAACTTTTTAAACATTAGGACATTAGCTGGCTGCTTCTTTAAATGTACCTGTATTGTCTGCCTGCTCCTTTTGTGGAGATGTGTTTTTGTATTGGATGTTTGGGCCAATGGGAGGCTTCAAGCTACAACATATTTTCCCAGTTTAAATATATTTAACATATGACAAACCCCAGACAAGGCTTTTAATATATACCAAGAACTGCAATGTTAGGTGGTTTATTTGCAAACCGTTTTCAATGTTGTCCATTTTTATGGCACCTATAACAATACTCTTGTTTCCAAAGTACAAAAAAAAAAAAAAAAAAGGTAAATAATCTAGCCATAACTGAATGTCAAGCAATAAAACAAACGACTTTTGTGCATAGATTTTAAAAAAAATACAAATTTTAGACATCTGCATGTAAATGCAATCTCTTGTTTACTGCTTTCTTCACCTTGGACAATTGATTCCTTATTTACTATTAACTTAAGGACTTGTAATGGCCTGTACACATTTTCTCTCTTACTCTTCTTTCAATTTACCTTCATCCCTGCTTTTGAGTCATGATATTTAATGTTGTTCTGCACATCTCTATACAGTTAACTTTTCGGCTTTCCTTCTGTATAGATAAGAAAATGTTATATTATAAACAGCCTACTCAGTGCAAATATTTATCTGTTTAATCAAATACCACAATATGCTGTATAATACCGGTTTTACTATATAATCTATTTTAGACATAGCTGTTTAGAACTAGAGTGTGCTATTTTTGTGTTTTTCTGATGTGTGGTGCTAGATAAGTTACTTTTGTGAACAACAAAAAACCCCTTTTATTCCTAGACAATACCACCTTTGGGTCTTGTTAATTTCACTGAGTATAGATATATATTTATATATATATATACATATACATATATATATATATATATATATATATATACCTACCTGTGCCCAACTAGCAGCTGTATCAGAGTGCTGGATTTGGGACATGCTTTTCTCTTTAAATACATAATATCATATAAATTATTCTAGAGTGTATTTAATTAGGATAAAATTACTTCCTTAGGATTGATATTTGACATCTAGCGGGTGAATTTGTTTATAAATATGGATGTATGAAAACTTACTATCAGTTACTTTATGTTTGCTATGTGGCTTCATGCCGTATCTCCTGAGCTGAAAAATAGTTTGCCAGGCCTTCAAGATCCTAAAGAAACACTCTCGTTAAATGGAGTAATTTTTTTTTCTTACTAAGGAATTATGTTATTGGCACCTGACAGAGTTGTGTGCTTAGCTCCTATTATGGATAATAGGCATTTGTATAAGATATCCTTGGGGCTTGATGGCAGAATAAACCTTTCCCTTCCCACCTGAGTCATGAGAAGTACGGAGACATCCATTAGCAGCACATGGACTATCAACGCAAATTCAAGGGATGGCCTGCTTTAATGTGACCTCGACCAGTTCCATAAACTGAGTGAAGGACTTTCATTTTAAAAGTCATTTAGCAGTGACCTTCATTAAACTCTTTTATCTATTCTCCCAAGACCTATTGGCATTCTTAAAAATCAAAGTATATCAAATATCTAACTAAGGATGTAGTTAACCTTATTAAATATTGATTAGAATTGTTCTGTAATATTACGGAATTTGTAAGATCTTTAGCAAAGATTTTTGAGCAGTTTATAAATTTAGAGCAAATGTTTCTGTTTATTGCACTTTTTGTAATTGAAGGTGATAAATTCTCAAGCCAGGATTGTTGGCTTCCATGCCCTGCATATTTACCCAGGATTCTAGACATTTTCCATTTTTATGGAAGGGTTACTGTTACCTTAAGGATAAATGCAATCATGTGGTTAATGACAGCTAATGCTAACAGTTAACCTTCTTAAGTGAATTGGCTAAAGTGTAGGGAGAAATCTATTTGAATACAAATCACGTCATTCCATATGGCTTTGCTTAAAAAGAGGTTGAAACCTTTAAAGAAAAACTTCATTTAGTATCCTAAGCCTCCTGAGGGTAGAGATTGTGATCTCTTTGAGTCTGCACAGTGGCCGGCTCTGGTCGGCATTTGGTAGATGTTCGTTGACACAGTGGCTGCAACGATGGGCTCAAGCATAGCAACGATTGTAAGGATGGTGCAGGACCGAGCAGTATTTCGTTCTATTGTATATAGGGTCGCTATGGGTCAGAAGTGACTCGACAGCACCTAACAACAACAATTGACAAGTGTGCCCCTATTAAAACTTTTTTTCCTGGGTTGTTTTGGTAAATTTATAAAGTATGCCAAGCCTTATGGTAACCAATTTCTTCTACGATCAAGTGTTAAAGCCACATTTAAAAAGACCACATGATATGCTGATTCTCATTGTGTGTAGGTCTTGAGGATTAAGCACACAAATTTCACAAAAACCCCGTGAGTAACAAACTCAGCCTTCTGTAAATATACATGCAAGTTTGGAAACAGTAATACTGTACCTATAAATATATGCTGTCTGTTTTGTATACAGTATGTAAAGACTCCTTTTCTGCCGCACTAAAAATGCAAGCCATTTATGGGAATCCTAAAAGTAGTATTGTACTAAAACTTTGCTAATGATCCTTATTAGAGGGCCATCCAATTTTTCACTTACATTGGGTTTTCTTTCCAATTCACTCTTACAGTAGTCTGCTTATTTCCAGCTGTTTGTTATTTTACTGAGTCCTGACTTTAAAAAAAAAAAATATTTTGATTCATTTTGTAAATACAAGCTGTAAAAAAAAGAGAGATTTAATGTTGTCTTTTAAATACTCCGATTTTCATTCTAATATGAATGTTGTTATATTGTACTTAGAAACTGTACCTTTAATATTACATTACCTTTATTAAAAGTGCATTGAACACATCGATTTTAGATGTGCTTTATGTACTGTTATCCTATAATAAAACTTCAGCTTCTAATGGAACACTTGCCTTGTTTCCCTTCTTCTTTCTTGGTTATTGAATTGCATTGTGCATCGTTCTCTAGCACTTTTTCAATTTTACGCCTTGTCTTCAGTGAGTGGTCTCGTAACCTTTGCTACTCAAAGTGTGATCCGCGGAACAGCAGCAGCAGCAGCATCACCTGGAACCCTGTTAGACATGCAGAATCCCAGGCCCCACCTCCGACCGTCTGGTTCAAAATCTGCAGGTTTACAGCATCCCCAGGTGATCGGTATGCGCACTTGAACGTTTGAGAAGCACTGGTCCATAGTATCCCATCCCATCCCACTGCCGTTGAGTTAGTTCCGACTCATAGTGACCCTGTAGGGCAGAGGAGAACTGCCCATAGGGTTTCCAAGGCTGTAAATCTTTACAGAAGCAGACTGCCACATCTTTCTCCCATGGAGCAGCTGGTGGGTTCGAACCGCCAACCTTTCAGTTAGCATCAAGCACTTAACGACTGCACCACCCGAGCTCCTTGGTCTGTACTATAGCACTTAAAAAAAATTCATCTCCATTTTTCAGGCAAGAAAAAGTGGATGTGAGGGCCAAGCTACCCTTTAGATCAGAGATGGCAATCTTATGAGATAAAGTCCGCTGATTGGTAGTAGCTGCCTGGAATGCAGAATCCAGGACTCTGAGGCTGTTTCCTGTCTCAAGGGAAAATGGTTCCGTGACCGATGAGTGATGTCTGCCCCGGGTGTGTTGTTGTTAGGTACTGTGGAGTCAACTGTCAACTCATTGTGACCCCACGTGACAGAGTAGAACTGCCCCATAGGGTTTTCTTGGATGTAATCTTTACAGAAGCAGACCGCCAGGTCGTTATCCTGTGGAGCTGCTGGGTGGGTTCGAACCACTAACCTTTCGGTTAGCAGCCAAGTGCTTAACGGTTGTGCCACCAGAGCTATGCCCTGGGTTGGGGAGGGGAGAAAGCCTGAGTACACACTGTACCTTTGTCTTTGCTGTAGAGACCGTTAAAATGGACCATCAGAAATGATGCCAGAGACTTCAGAAAAAATGTATATATATGACTTTGCTGGGCTGTCAGTGCCCCCCACCCACCTCCTTTTTTCTGAGTAGAATATGTACAGGTGAACCAACAATGTAACATCAGCTAAGTTTCACACAGTCCCTGGGTAGTGCAAACTGTTAAGTGCTCAGTTACTAGCTGAAAAGTCGGCGGTTTGAACCTACCCAGAGGCACCTCACAAGACAGGCCTGGTGATCTGCTTCTGAAAGGTCCCAGTCTTTAAAACCCTATGCAGCACGTGTACTCTGTACACATGGGGTCACCATGAGTCAGAATCGACTCCACAGCAACTAAAAACAACAAGTATCACACTGTTTTAATGGTGTAGAAATCTCAAATTATTTTAAAATAATCTGAAGGCCGTTGAGTTGCATTTCCTCCACACACATACTACAGTAAGTGTGCTTTGCAGGCAGTAGGCGTTCATTAAACATTTGAAGTCATCCTAAAAGTTACTGCACAGCAAATAGTCCTAATCCTGCTTTCCTTTCCAGCCACCTCAGAGAAGAGGAAGGGATTATGCCTATGAAATCTTTGTAGACTATCAAGTTCTATATAATTATAAATATTCACCACCTTCCAGTGTCTCTGGAAATTGAGTCAATGGAAATAATGATGAAAAGCTGTCACCCCTAGGCCTTTACCCAAACCATGCCTACAGACTTCCACTAAAAATAATGGTTTACACTGCTCTCGTCATCCTGGATTAGCTTGCTCGACTTCAAGATGGGTACTTACAGGGGACTTTAAGGACTGTTTGTAATGACGTCATGGGAAAATGAGAAAGGAGAACAAGCATCAGGTTATTAATGAACTAGAAATATTAGGGAAGAAAGCAAAAGTAATAACCACTGACTGATCAGTAAGATCCAACCACAAGAATGTCTTGGTTGCTGCTGTTACTACTGACCTTTGTTTTGTGAGGCAAGCTCAAGCAGTGCGGCCCTTTCTAATGAGCATTTGGAGCAAACGGAGCCACGTGGAGCAGATCTCTGCTTCTCACGGCAGGTCTGTGGAGGGTTGGGGAAGGAGGGGAACTGCGGATGTGCTGAGAGGTACAGTGCAACACCTTGGCTTCCCCTTTGGGATAAGAAACTGAAGATGGGGCCCGGTGGTGTTCAAAGCCATGGTCCAGAAGAGGCCATTACTGTTACATAAGTCACCAGAAACTGGAAAAATAAGACATCTCCGCCGTAAGGGGCTTCAGGAACATGGGGGCAAGGGAGGGAATTATTCTCAGGAGAAACTCCCTCCCAATCTCAGAATAACATTGAGTAATTGCCCCCATAGCCTACGCGGCCCACCCCACCCTCCAGCCTTCCTTAAGGCATGCCTACACTCCAAGTAGGATCCCTGGGTGGTACAAGTGGTTTGCAATCGGCTGCTAACCTAAAGGCTGGCAGTTTGAACCCATCCTGCAGTGCCGTGGAAGAAAGGCCTGGCAATCTGTTTCCAGTGGTAGCAGAAGCCTTTTGCTAGGAGATGAGCAGGCATTCTGTCCGTTCACTATACCACCAGTTGTGAGCTGGAGAACCTCTTGCTAGGAGAAGAGCAGGCACTCTGTCCATTCACTATACCACCAGTTGTGAGCTGGAGAACCTCTTGCTAGGAGATGAGCAGGCACTCTGTCCTTTCACTGTACCACCAGTTATGAGCTGGAGAATGTCTTGCTAGGAGCTAGCAGGCGCTCTGTCCGTTCACTGTACCACGAGTTGTGAGCTGGAGAACCTCTTGCTAGGAGATGAGCAGGCACTCTGTCCTTTCACTGTACCACCAGTTATGAGCTGGAGAATGTCTTGCTAGGAGCTAGCAGGCGCTCTGTCCGTTCACTGTACCACGAGTTGTGAGCTGGAGAACAATCCTGGTTTTTTCCTGATGTCATTTAGCTCTGATGTTGGAGTGAAGAGGTAACACACTGGTCTTTCTGCATTTGGTTTGGTTCTGGATTTTTTCTTTGGAAGAGAAATACTGGCTCCAGTTGAGGAACTTCTCAAACAGTATTTTTAATTCCAAGATGATTTCTCCTTTGTGGGGCGAGGGGAGGAGGCTGCTTCATCTATCAATGGTTCTGTGCTTAGAGGATAAAAATTCATGTTAATACTAGTTTCACACAAAGTTAATAGTGCCCCCCTAGCAGGCCCCACGCCCTCCCCTTCTACCATTCTCTCTCTACCCCTATAATAAAATATACAGTACATTTTAAAAACAAACGTAAATATGTTAAATGATCGCGCTTGGAAATATCTCACCTCTTCCTGTGGTATACTTAAACAAACAATGACGACCAAAAAAAACAATCACCATTGAGTCAACTCCAGCTTATGGCAACCCCATGTGCATCAGAGTGTAAGTGAGCTCCACAGGGTTTTCAATGGTTAATTTTTCAGAAGTAGATAGCCAGGCCTTTCTTCTGAGGCACCTCTGTGTGGATTCAAATCGCCAGCCTTCCAGTTAGCAGCCGAGCGTTAACCACGTGCACCACCCAGGACTCCTTAGGCACACCCTCCTGTAAAAGACCAGCTATTCAGATTTCTGGGTGTTTTTCAGAGTAGCGACCACATAATATAGG